AATATTTTGTTTACACATTTTTGTTTTAATTTTATTTTATATCTATATTTTTTAGTGTCTATTCTTCTTTGTTTGTTTTTTATTTTTTATTATGATTAAAAAATGTATTTTTTATGGGTTTTGTTTTATATTTATTTATAGTTTGAAGATTCAACTTTTATGTTTTTTTTTTTTTTTTTTTTTTTTTTTGTGATTCTCAATAGTTTTTAAAGTATTACTTATACTTATACTTTATACTTTTTCTTTATTTATTTTTAAGTATAAGTATATATTCCTTACTTTCCTTATTCACTTTTAAGTTTTTGTAATTATTTTATTATTATTTTACAAACTTCTTTACATCTACAAGTTAATAATTATTTATTTTTTTATTTTTTTTAAAGCTGTTTCTTACATTCCAAATTTCTTTTAAAGGTCGTCGAAATTCTCATAATTGATTAAATAAATTTAGTTGTAAGCGTCGACTGCGATTGAGTAAGTCCATATTGGGACAGAATTACCTAACCAGTCGATAAAAGCGTTGCACAGACAAATTTACGTGTTAAAATTTCGGGTAAGGCATATAACACTTTCTATTCGACAAACGCAATAGAGGTGATTCATGCGAGTTGAACTATAACTAAATGGATTACAAATACGCGAGGCCAGGCGACAAACCAGTTTCTAGAGAGACCTAAAACGGAGCTCAGCACCTGAGCAATTGTGGATTAAAAATGTTGAATGTAGTTCAGCAAGTGCTCCTGAAAGGGAAAGGGAAAGTTGAAAGGGATCAATAATTGGTCCACTGTGGACGTTGATGATTTTTTACTTTTACTTGACGTTTAACTGCGCTCTCTTTTGCATCTCCTTCACTCTCTCTCGGTATTCCTCTCTCTTTCTGTATCCACTGTCCAGCATCTGTAAATCAAGGTAATTGCTGGCATTCTCTATGCTCCGACCATTCATTGCAGGCTGCCCGCATATGCAAATGCAGATGCACATCGATCATCGTTTCATGTCTGCTGCAGTTGGCACTGCGTGAAAGTAAAATTTGATGAGACTGAGCTAAAGACATAAACCAAGACAGAGATAGAGTGCAAGAGAGAGAGAGAGAGAGAGAGAGGGGGGCAAAAAGCTTGTTTGGTCCGTTCCGCTTTTAAGTTTTTCGTCGTGTTAGCCGTGAATTGTTTGCCAGAGTGAGAGCCAGCTAAGTGCATTGCTCGATTGGGTCTTGAACAAGAAAAATAATGGATTATTAACAACTAAAGTTTCTTCAAATTTGAGTCAGAATATATTAGTCATGTTCACAGTATTTTTGATTTATTATATTTTAATTTGATGTTCGTCGACTCGTCTGTAATTTCCTCGCTATTGTCAGATACCTGAAATATATATTAATGTGCACATTAGTCTGATAAGTTACAGAATATAATATCTCCAAGCCGTTGCAGATGTGGTGCAGCGTTTTTTACTATATTTGGGAATTTATATTTCATATGGGTATTTCTCCAGCGTGCGAACCCCTTGGTTTATTTTGAGTAATAAACAAGTACATAAGAAGGCTCTAGTCGAGACTGCTCGACTAGGAGATACCCTGAACCCTTCAAGCTGATATTCTAATCATTCTGCACTTCTTCTATTCACACATACATACACATGCATCCATACGCACTTATAACAACGCGCTCCGCTGACGGCGCAGTAGCAGCGACTGCGCTTAGGCTGCCCTGCAATGTGGGCAATATTATACGAATTTATTTGTTGAATAATTTAATTTCTAGGCGTACAATCTTAATGAAACTTTTAGAGCGTAATCATAATGCACAAATGTATGTACATCCCTAGTATTTGAAATGCGTTTTTTACAAATTGGGGGCGAAGGGGGCGTGGTATCCAAAATCTGTAAATTACAAAATCTTTGTATCCATTAACTTTATATACAACGCAAATTTGAAGTCTCCAGATCTAATAGTATTCTAATGAGGCTGAAAAAACAAAATCAATTTTTCGATTATTCTCGATAAAAAAGTTATCGGATGATTTATCGAAAACCTAAAGCAAACTCGTACTGTGCATGGTACACACGAGTATGCATGCCAAATTTCAGCTCTCTAGCTCTTGTAACTTCTGAGATCGACGCACTCATACGGACAGACGGACGGACAGACGGACAGGGCTATATCGACTCAGCTCGTCGCGCTCATCAAGAATATATATACTTTGTGGGGTCTGCCACGCCTCCTTCTGCCCGTTACATACTTTTTCACAAAACCATTATACCCTGATTTCTCATTTTCAATGGGTATAAAAAAAACATGTATTTTCAAGATCATTACAGAAAACCAAGGGTCTCTCACTCTATAAGAAAAAAAGACCATTCTGATGAATTATTATATATATTATACATGTTTGTTTCTCACAGCTAAAGACTTGATTCTTCAAATCTATGTAATCCTATCATGTAAGCATAGATAGAGATGAATAACCAAATTAACACATTGTAATTTCTTAGAGAGCGAAGTAAATAAAATGAAATATGTATATATTTCAATATCAGCTTATATCATCCACAATTCTAGGGTAAGGATCCTAGAGATCACCGATTAAATCACTGTGCACCCATTGAAAATTAAGTTTAATATATATTATAATATTGGCAAGACAAAGAAACTTAGTTGATTTTAAATATTTAACGATTTAACAAAAATATTAATTGCATTCTTTAATTTCTCCGTCACTTTCAGTGCGATTCGCGGCTGCTGCTGCTGCTGCTGCTGCTGTTGCTCACGGGCATTGTGAGCTGCTCGCAGGGCAGCAACAGCTTTGGATTTGACTCGGCCAACTCGTGCAGCCCGAACAGTAAGGTGTCGCGGCGTGGGCGTGCCCAGATGCTGGCGGCGATACCGTGCGACCTGGCCAAGCAACCGTTCTGTCATCTGCCGGGCTCGATTTATCCGTGGCACGCCGTGCGCCGGTTCGTGCACGAGAATCAGGGCCTGATGAAACGCATGTATGGGGATGTGCGTCACATATCCATACTGCGCGATGAGATCCAGAATAATGAGGTCGTCGACGTGGACAGCATGGAGGAGGCAGCACAGCGCTACTCCAAGATGCCGCGCGGCGCCAAGTATATGCTGCATGGCAGGGATGCGGATCGGGATGAGTTCAGCAACTACAAAGGCAACGATGTGCTGATGGAGCCACATTTCCGGCCAGTGTCCACGACGAGTCCAACGACCACGACGACACCGACAACTCCAGCGACCCCAACGACTCCAATCACGACGAGTTTTGCGTCGACAGAGCCGACAGTGGCTGCAATTGTGCATCTGGGCGAGGAGCAGCCCAGCGTCGAGTCGAACAGTGTTTACGAGGTGGCCAATGCCACTGGAGTAACTGCAACAACCACAACAACAACATTAGCAACAACAACAAAAACAACGACGACGACAGTGCGGTCTAAGCAAACAAGCGCAGATGAGCTTCCAAACAACAACATGAACAATATCGACAATCCACAGCCGGAAGTGGTGCAGGGCCCACGCAATTTCACGAGCAACCCTCTGCCTGGGACACCTGCCCCAGCCTCAAAAGCAACTGCCACACCGTTGTCCAGTCACAAGCAAAAGGTGAATGAGAATGCAACCACGACAAGTCCAGCTATAGATGGAGCAGCATCTGCTAGCAGCTCCACGGCACAAACTAAGACAACAGCAGCAACAGCAACTTCTTCCATAGCAGCAACAACTGCAACACTCAGCAGCAACAACAACAACATTAGCGGCAGCAGCTTAGTCCCACGCAGAAATGTGACTAAAACGATATTAGGAGCAACGACACCTGCCAGCTTTGCATCGCTCTTCTCGCCCACATTCACATCGCTGATTGCGGACAAGCAGCGCAAGCCGGGCGCGCCGGGCGGGCCGGGCAGCAGTACAACGTCGACACCTGCCAGCGCTACGAAAGCTGGGCTGCTGCGCGAGGGAGGGCAGCTGTTCCAGGATGCCATGAAGCAGGAACCGATGGCTGTCACAAGCAATATGCGTGGAGTGTAAGTGCAATCGCTTATTGCTATCGATCAGTATAGCTAAATGGACTTCATTAATGTTCCTCTCCATTCTACAGCAATGCCTGTCCTGTCAAGGACGAGGTGGTTGCTCCGTTCTGGGCGAACAACACGCGTGGCGAGGTCCTGGCGCTGCTCAATCTGTACCCCTTCGAGCAGTACGTACACTGGGAGAAGTGCACCCAGGAGTTCAAGCAGATGTTCTGTCGTGACGGCTGTCGCTGCGAGCAGCAGTACCGGCTGCACCGCCTGCTGGCCTACGACCCGCACAACGAGTGCCGCGGCATCTTCTCCGACTGGTTCCGCTTCCCCTCCAGCTGCATATGCAAGTGCTACAATATCCCAATGGAGTTCCGTGCAACGTCGCGCAGTCCTCGCTCCGACAGCAGCTTTGATGCCACCCAGTCCCAGTCGCATCCTCAGCCCCATCTCGATCCAATTGATGCCGCCGAAACCGAGGTCCAGCGAGCTATCTATGAGCATGCGACCGATCAGTGGTATCGGCCACGCGACGAATACGATTTCTTTGAGGGCTAGTTACGATACGATAGTTGAGTCCCTAAATATAATGAACAATGAAAAATGTCTTCGACTGAGTATATTGCGTTTCAACCTAGTCCCTCTAAATGTACAGTAGTGTAGCAACCCCAGATTTAGCTGGAAGATAATATGACTTATTTCCGTAACCAACTGTAACTAACTTATACTAAATCTACTTATGATTTAAGTTTCTAAAATATCTTAGATCTTCTTTTGTAGCCTAAGCAAGTCATTATGTTATTGTATATATAGACCAACATAATGTCTTTCCCAGCGAACATTGACCGAGCAAGTGTACCTAGAAATATCTATTAAACGACAGCGCAGAGCAACGTTTAATAGTATTGCATTTTATGAGTAAGTGCGGCCATAATATACATATATTTTACACTGTAAATAAAGCGCAACGAAATAGACAATTTTGAAAAAATATTTATTGCAAAAATAGATATACGCGTAATAACATTCTTACGCAGATATGTAAGTATATTATGGATAAAATCGTTTATAATGTATTTAATACGTTTACATAATATACTTTTTGATTTAGGTATATTTGAATTATGTAGCATTAATTTTCGCTAAAGGCATTTTCTGTATCAGTTTTACAATTACATTTTAAGTGATTTAATAATAGTAATAGCGTTTTATCAATGTTCATCGAATAAAGAATTTGAATCTGAATAATTATACCTAATTTTACAATTTTGATTTCTTTTCTTTTCTCTTTCTTCAGAGGCCCAAAGTTGTTTGAAAACTATTTGAATTAAGTAAGGCAATATGGTTGCAGTATTATAAAGCCAATTTTTCGATTGCCACACAATTAAATATATATAATATAAACAATAGAATTGAGTAAGGTTTGCACAAAATTTGATTTGAAACCCTACAGAGAGAATTTTGAAAACTCTCGTCCAGACGAACAACAATTATTTCACAAGTATTTAAGAATTACGTAAACTAGATCAGACATGGAAAAAACATACAGAATACAGAATACGGCGCCCTTTTGCAAACGAAATATGTGGGCAAAATATGTGTTTAGCATAGACGACATTGAATACTCTATGTTAAGCGAAACGAATACAAAAACTTTGTATAATATTAATACGCACTCCAATACTATTATAATATATGTATATATATATCTGCAAATCCTTAACTCTACGTAAACCTCACAACTCGATTAGTTGTGCTAGCCATTTGTTACAGGGACCCAGAGAAGTTTGTCTTGCTCCTTATCAACAGCATCCTTGATCTGTGTGCACATGTGCTTAATGCTGACTCCAGGAATTACGGCTAAATAAGGGAGAAAATATAATTATAATTCGAGCTAAGTTAAGCTTCCAAAGCATTACTCACCGGATATATACTGTTTGTAGTCAAACTCCAGTTTCAATGCCCGTTCGTACATCTCCTTAGCTGCCTTGGCTGATATTTTGTCGGTGCCAAAGTCTCGGATATCGCGAATTTGTTTGGCCGACTTGAAGCGTAGCAACAAAACAATCGGATAAATTTGCAATCGTTGCAGACGCTCCACCGCTGAGATCGACACATCCAGAATGCAATGACGCCGGTCCTGTATAAGAGATGTGTTATCTATATGTTCTTAATTTCCTTTCACTAGATTCTTACAATTTTGCACGCATTACTGATAGCTTCCACGGTGGTGCACTCGAACTTATTGCCACGTCGACGATAATCCACGAATATATTCTCTTTGAGGCCCTCCTCCATCGCTTCCTGTGAACAGTCCATGGTCGTTACCTCGCACAGCTTGAACAAATTGGAAAAGTCTATCTTCAAGCGATCTATCAAGCACTCAGACAGTGGTCCAATGATCAGCACTGGGCGACGTATTGGTGCTGTATTAAAGTGACATGAAATTAGCTATAAAAGGAATCCTTAACAACAAACGTGGACTCACAGTCTAGAAGCTCAACCCGCTGATAGCTTAGGACGCCGCCATCGTCATTCAGAATGCCCGAGTCGGGAAAAAAACTCAGCTGAGTGTTGCTAAAGCTTGCTATCTCCGTTGAGTCGCGCGAGGAGCTTCGCTGGTTTTTCTTGCGCCGAAAAAAAGATCGACGTGCTGATGTGCTGCCGCGTCGCGCAGTTCCTGTATCACAATCAACAACCTCGCCCGAACGCAACTCCTCCTCCACCCTTCAAGAGAAACGAAATCACTTAATAATGGACCATCAAGCAGTCTAAAGCAGGACTTACTTCATTTGGCTTGGAATGACGCCGCACTCCTTACGGTGTCCCATTGCATCTAGTTTCCATGCGCGCCATAGACCAAACGTTCCATTGAAAACCGTATTATCCACATAAAGCACCTCGTCCTTGATGAAACGCAAGTCCTCCTCATTCAGTTCACCAACGCGATCAAACCCCACTCGTATGTAAAACGAATCGCCTGGTTTATCCTTGATTTGCTTGAGTGCTTCAAATAAAAAGAATTGATTTATGAGATTTACAATGTTTGATTATCCAAAAATACAACTTACTTTGCAATTTGTTCTGCACTAGCATGGTAACGGTATCCGTGAGCTTCGAGATCTCATTGGCAGCCTGCTCGGCGGTGACTCCGCTCAAATCGACACCGTTGTACTCCAATATGAGGTCACCCTTACGTATGCCGGCGTGATCCGATGGAGAGCCGGGTGCCACATCGTGCACATAGATTCCCACCTTGTTACCGCCAAAAAGCTTAATGCCCAGATTCTTCGACTTATCCATGTGCAGTGTGACAAAACGCAGACCTAAAGACGAAACATTCAAATATTAAAATTGATTATTGATATAGCAATATATAAAGTAAAGATGTATTTTTAAGAATTAAGTATAGTTCGATTACTCGAATGTAAGCTTGTCTTATATTAGTTTCTAATTCGTTTGAAAATAATATATAATTATAAAATGATGGAAATCAAAGGAGTATTAGCTTGACTATACGATATATTGAATAGTATGGTATATTCAGTATGATATATTATATAGCTAACATATTTTCTCATTCATAACTATTAAAACTACATAAGGAAGTATAGTTCGATTCAAGGAGTGTTAGTTTAACTAAACAATCTTTTGATAACATATAATAATTAAGGTTTATGGTAAATTCAACTAACTTATTTGTTAGTACCTCATGCGTAACTATTAAAACAATATTATTATACATTTCAATATAGTTATTTGATTCGTATCTGTTACAATATGCTTATAGCAAATGAGTATAGTTCCATTAAAAGGAATCTTAGTTATACCAATAAAATCTGATGCAAGTCAATGATAATGTACAGCCAATGATATTGTATGCTTAAGATTTGTAGCGAAAACCGCCCGACTCCAGATATAAGACTAAGACTAAGAGCTTAACATTTGCTTTACATTTTATCAACTAATTAATTCATGTACTATATATACTAATTAATATAACAATTATATTTAATGTAACTAACCTAGCTTTAGCATTTACTTTCCATTTTATAATAATGAAATGTACTATATATACAAATTGGTATACTAATATTTAATATAACAAACCTTCTGTAGACACTGATGTCGCAGCTGATGGCAGACTGATCTTGGTGTCCTCGTCGTAAACGGTCGAAGTGGCCGAGGCAGTTGTCGTGGTTGTTGTGGCCGCCGATGAGGGCATATCTTGGCTACTGCTAATATCCGATTGATTCTCCAGACTGTCAGTGAAGCTCTGATCCTTGATGGACTGATGGGAGAGCGGCGCACGTGTAACGGAGACCGCGGACGGAAGCAGAGAGAGCGGCTGCATCGGCATTGTCGTTTGCACACTGCGAGCCGGCGGTCGCGGTGAATTTCTGGGGGTCGGCGAGCCCGAGTGATTAAGAGGAGATTCTGGTTCCAGATTGTGTATGCCTTCGTACTCAGTTGAGTGAAACTCTGCAAGACAACTCAGTTAGCGATAGTTAGACAACAGAAGTGTTTCGGTTTACTCACTCTCTGGATTGTACTGCACCAGCATTGTGAAGGAATCACCGCACTGTCGCAGCACATTGGCGGCTATTTCATTGGTGGCCGCACGCATATTGATGCCACATACTTCCAAGAGTTGATCGCCCACCTGGAGACCGGCACGCATTGCGGTACTCTTGTCGGCAACAGTTGACACGAAAATACCGCCACCATTGTTGTTGCACTGTATGGTAATACCTAGCGACTTATCGCGCTTGTCGATCGTGACTCTTCTAAGGTCTCCAGGGCATAAAAAATCCGAGGCAACGTTCGAGTTCCGTTTGCCACTGCCACTCGGCCCGCCGTGGCTCAGCACCTCCACGTGTACCTGCGGCATCGGCGAGCCCCTTCCGCTGCCTCCGCCGCCGCCTCCACCGGCCACGCCCCCATTGATGCTGCTCACATTGCCTGCATAGTTGGTGTGCAGCGACGAGTTCATCAGCGAGACGGGCACCCCTGTGCTGCCGCTGGTGGCGTAGTGATGGTCAATGGAGCCGGAGCTGTTCTTGACCAGGCTGCTGCTGTTCTGCCTGTTGCTGGCCACGCTGGGATTCGACGGAATGCGCAGGCGCTGATTGTCTTTCTTTCGCGGAAAGGTTCCGCCCTCGTAAATGACACCATTCCCCGACCCGACGACGCCGGCGAGACTGTACGGGTAGTGCGACTGCGGCTGACTGTAGTCAATGTACGGCGGGTGCTGGAGGTGCTGATGTGGGAGTGGATGCTGTTGCTGCTGCTGCTGCTGCTGCGTGTGCTGACCCGGCACAAAGTCCAGATCCGTGGGTATGCCAATGGTGCTGTTGTTGCTCGTGTTCTCCAGCTGTGCCGCCTGCGGCGCCTGCAGTATCGACGCCATCGTTGAGGGCGGCGGCGAGGGCAGCGTCAGGGGACTAGAGCGTCTCATGTAGCGCTGTCCATGACTGCTGGGCTGAAAACTGGGAAAGAGTTGCGTGTGCCGATTACCCACCGTCGCCATGTGCGCCTGATGCGACGGCAAATAGTTGTGTCCGCCGGAGACGAGAATGCCGGAGCCAATGCTCTCGCTATCGCTGGGATACTTGGGCACGTGCTTCGGAGGCATAGGCGGCACATTGCGCTTCCTGTAGACATTGCACTCGCTGATCGGCGGACTCTTAGCCGACAGCATGGACTCAATTGAGTTTTGTGACTTGAGCGAGATGATGTCCACGGGTCCGCCCGAACTGGACCCAGCCGAGCCGCTGCCGCCCGAGACACGAGGCGGCGGGTGGACTGGCATGAATGTGGCGTTCACCTTGGGCAGTGGCAGGGGCAGTGGTGGCGCCGGCTGCTGAAACATGTCGAACATCTGTTGCTTGCGGGTCGGAAACTCTCCGGCAGCCACCGCCGGGACGACCTGCTGCTGTGCCTGCTGGCCGCTCGTTTTGGGCTGGTAGAAATCCCCGCCGCTGGGCGGAATATTCAGCGAGAACCGGTGTGGGTTGTGCGAGCGGATGGAGCGCTCTTGGCCGTGCAGCTTCACCCGGGCATTGGCACCCATTAGCGGTGCGGGTCGCTGCATCGGCGACTGCTTGTCCTCGGACGAAGTGGGGACTACGCCCCCATATAGTGAATGCCGCGGATAGGTAACGCCCACATTGCCGGGCTGAAAGAGTGTGGAGGCCACGTTGCTAACGGGATTTGAGTTGCGATTGGGATGCGTTTTGATCGCGCCGCCATTCAGATTGCGCGGCTTCGACAACTGCGGCGGCAGCGGCGGCGGAGGCAGCTCCTGCAGCTGCATTGGCGGCTTCGACTCCGTCTGCTCGACGACATCGTCGTCCTTGTCCACATTGATGGGCCCGGCGGTGAAGAGCGACATCAGCGCACGCTTCTTCTCGCCCCCACGCTGGACAATGGTGCCTGTGGGATTGTCGTGCGAGATGTTGGTGCGGGGCCAGGTGCCCATGCTTTTAGCCTCCTTTTCGCCCTTTTTGCCGCGCTTGTGGCGCTTGAAGAGATTCTCTTTGCTCTTCTCCGAGCTGTTCTCGCTCAGCACCGAGTCTAGCGCCGCAATGGCCACGTCGTGCTCCTGCTCGAAGCTGTCGTCGGCCGTGCCCGGTTTACTGAACTTCAGTTTGCGTAGAAAGTCTGCGAATTTGGACGGATGTTTGGCGGCGCCACTGCCACCGCCACTGCCACTACCGCTAGCCACTCCGCTGCTGCTATTCAACTGCTGCATGGAGTCGATGGAGCTGTCTGTCTGCGCCGACGAGCTGGTCATGCGGCAATGGGCGTCCGACTGCTGCTCCGGCACATACTTCAGGGCGAATATGTTGACGGTGTCGGTGTTGAGCAGCTGCATCACCTCATCGATGGACTGCAGCGAGTCCATTGACTTGTTATTAATACTCAGCACGCGATCACCCACATCCAGCTCTGGCTCGTAGAAGGCCAGTGAATTGGGTTCGATCTTGGCTATGAACACGCCCATATCCAGCTGCAGTCCGATGGCATCACGGCCGTTGGTCTTCAGCTGCACCGCGTATGAGTGCCGCTTGCTGTGCCGGGTGCGGGAGACGAGCAGCAGACAGCGGGGCGCACAGGCGCGAATCTCGTCGAGGACCATGCGCTTCGACAGTCCCTGGCACTCCAGGTTGTTCACCTTGCAGATAACATCGTTGATTTTCAGCTTGCCAAACGCCGACGAGCTATTGGTGACTCCGCAAACCAGCTGACGCTTGTTGCTGTCATCGAGGATTATGCCCAGATCCGAGTCGTGGTAGTTGCACAGTTCGATTTCCAGGAGATCTTCGCCGCTCTCAAAGCTGCTCAGGCGGAAGCTGCGACGTGATGCACTGTCGAACGGTGTTGCTGGTGTCGAAATTGTCTGGCTCTCCAGCTGCTCCTTGAGCGCATCGATTTTTTTCTGGGCCTCATCCTTTTGCTTCTTGATCTTCTCACTGTCGCGAATGGCCATTAGCAAATCGGATATCGCCTTGTCCCGCTCCTTGCGCAGATTATCGCAGAGCGTCTTCACCGAGTCACGCTCTTGGACGATCTTCTCTCGCTGTGAGATGGCCCAGTCTCGCACGCGTTTTGCCTCCTCGGCGTCTTGCAGTGCGCGCTCGACTTCAGATTGAGCCTTGTCCAGGCTCTTGCGCAGCTTTTCCAACTCCTCCTTGCTGTCATTGCTGAACTCCTTCGACCAGCTGCTTTCACGCGACTTCAGGAGATCTCTTTTCTTGTGCTCGGCGTTTGCCAACTGCAACGATTTCAATTCGCTCTTGTATACCAGCTCATCTTTCTTGAGACGATCGATCTCTTTGTTGGCCAGCGCCAGGTCATCCGACATCTTTTGATGCTCCTGCAACACATTGTCCTTCTCAGAGAGGAGCTGATTGAGTTCCTCTGTCAGCGAAACGACATGCTTCGTCTCCTTGGACAGCAGAACTTTTAAGGTTTGATTCTCTTCGCCGCGTTCACGATAGAAATTGCGCTCCTTCTCCAGCTCAATGTAGGATTTCTTGTACTTCTCTCTCTCCATAGCTATCAAATTGCGCTCCTTCTTCAGTTCGGCCAGCTTCTCGCTGCTGTTGCAGCTGCCATCGCAGGGTGTTTGCATTTTACCGTAGTAAAACGCATTGCTGCCGGGCGTCGACGGCTGCGAAGCTGATGGATTTCCATTGTTTTGATTCTGATTCTCGAGCAGCATCAATTTGTGTTTCAAACGGGCACTCTCGGCCACAATATCCGTATACTTGTTGCGATCAGCCATGTAGTGCTCCTGATAGAGATTTAGCTGTGTGGCGAGCTCATCACAACGCCGCTCCGAGTTTGAATGCTGATGCCGCAGCGTGTTTAGGTCACACATCGCCGACTCGTACTGCGACTGCAGTAGTTCGTATTTCTTTCCGTTGCCACCAACTCCTCCACCGCCGCCTACGTTGTTGACCACCTTTGTTGGCCCATTGTTGTTGGCCATATTGGCTGCCGTTGTGCTACCGCTTGAATTGGAAGGTGGCCGCAGCGTATTATCATAGCCCGCATATTCCGAACTTTCTTCTGGAATTATTGTGAATCCAATGAGAAAATGTATTTGAAATAATCCTTGAATTCATTAAAAATAATCATGTAAGCTCACCTTCTTGACTGCTTGTGCTGGTCAACGAGAGGTCACCAGATGCCATTTTCGCCATCACAATATCATTTCATCTTTTTCCAATATGCAATAGTTAGATTTGAAGTTAAGCTGAAAGCAAATATTTAATTAATTAAATTAGATACAACTTAAAATTTCAATTGTCTTATTGCTCTTGACTCTAGATTTATCTGTTTAAGACAGAGTTATACTATGTGTCTAGTGTTTTTAAAATTTGTTGGTTAATTAAATTTGGTTTATGGATGCAACAATAATTTATTGTTCATTATGATACGCATTTATCCTGTCTATTTAGTTATCTATTAGTTATACTTTATTCATTATATAATATGTAATAATTTGCTTTTTCTTTATTTATTTATTTTTTTTTTTATTTATTATTTATAATTTTTTTTTTTTTTTTTTTTTTTTGCAGCAGAATTTTATTTTATTTATGTTAATTTATCCTGTTTATCCTGTCTGTTATTTTATTTTATTTTATTTTTCTATTAATTCAATAATTTCATAATAATTATAAAACAATGAAATTTCCGGTTACAACGGACAGCGAAAAGCCAAAGACTATGCAAACTGAAGACTTAATGGAGTAGCAGAAGCTTTAAACTAGCTATAAAGCTAGTTAAGCTTTTAAAAGGCTAATGACTCTAATATCGCTAACTGTTGTTGCTGCTGCTGTTGTTGTTGTTGCGCAAATTGAGTGCGCGGTGTATCTCGTAAGTAAGCACAAAAAGTGGGAGAGCGGCGACAGTAACTAACTAAAAGAATTAATTAAGCCAGCCAAGCAGAAAGTGTAAATTAAACGCACTACGTGCATTCCCAATCGAAGAGAAAAAGTTGCCGTATAATAGAAACAAGTAAGAAAGCTCTAGTCGAGACTGCTCGACTACGAGATCCCCTGAACCCTTGGAGCAATAGATATTTCAATACTTTTTCGCGACTTTCAGCTTACACAAGAAACACGCACACACACACACACGTACGCAAACACAGGCATACATACACACACACGCATACTGACACACATACACACACACACGCATACATACACAAACGCATACACACACACACATACACACACACATACACAAACACATACACACACAAGCAACCACGCATAAACACGCATGGGCTGCAGTGTGCGCTTACTATGAGAACTTAATTGCTTAATAACTTTTTTTATGGACGTACGATCTTCATGAAACTTTTAGATTATGATTATAACATGAATATGCATGTAATTGCCAAAGCACAAGTCTCTAGTATTTGAAATACGCTTTTTACAAAAGTGAGGGTGAGGGGGAGAATTTAGAGGTGGGGAGTAAATTTTAACAAAAACCGAAATTGTATAAATTGCATATAAGCATACATTTAAAATTTGGAGTCTCTAGCAATAAAGGTGTAGAAGATATAATTTTATAACTGGGTTTCGATAAGGTTTTTTATCGATAAAAAAAGATCGAGATGAGTTATCGATTTTTAATGATAAACTTGATATGCGCGCTGTAATTACGGACATTTAAAAAAAAATTTGAAGTCTCTAGCTCTTATATCTTCTGAAATCGACGCGTTCATACATACGGACAGACGGACAGACGGACAGACAGACGGACAGGGCCAAATCAACTCAGCTCGTCACCCTGATCAAGAATATATATACTTTGTGGGGTCTGCCACGCCTCCTTCTCCCTGTTACATACATTTCAACAAAACCATTATACCCTGATTTCCCATTGAAAATGGGTTCAGGGTATAAAAAGGAAAAATGTGAGAGTTAGAGAAAGAGAGAGGAGAGAGAGATACACATCAGGAAATTTGCCAATTGGAGTGAGCGTTATGGAATAAACATATGGACATATATATGTGTGTATATGAATGCATATATGAATATTCGTTTTTATGTACATGTATGTATGTATGCATGCATGTCGAAACACATACACAGCCGCATACGCAAACGCAACAAATGAATGAAAACGAACGACTACACCCCATTTCAGCCCCTGTGCTTGACTTAACGTTGAGGATGCGAATGCGCAACTGGCAAGTTTACCTTTTACGTATGTTTCAATATTTAATAATTACAACAAAAAGGCGAATCAGGATATTAAATAGACTAAAGGTCAAACTTCGAAAGAAAAAATATTTTTTGCATTGCCCACACACACGCACCTTCACACCCACAACATATGTTGATGAAAATTATCTTGAAAAATAAGTTAGAAATCACAAATACAACGAACAAACAACGTAAAAAACAACCTTCAGATTTTAGACAGTGCAAACGTCACTTCTTTATTTTCACTCTATGTTCGTTTCATTACTTTAGGTGGAGATCGGATCTTGGTGGCCGATTAAGCGGCCTGTTGGCTCGATTTTTATCACTTTCTGTTCATTGATATTTTTATTTACTTAGCTTCCGACATTCACGTTTCTTAATCAGATTAATATTGTATTTTAAATAAAGTAATTTTATTTCAACGAAAAGAAATATTAAATAAAAATAAAAAAAAAGTTTCACTGCGAAAGTTGCAGTGCGACCGTATGTCCCGAAACCGAAATACTGATATCCGATTCATCTACGAATATATTTATCAGAAAAATACCAATTCGTCGAAACCATAGCTCACATATGAAGTTTGGGGTATTCCGTGAAATGTTGGTAGGTAGACGTAAAATATGCCATGCTTAGTGCTCATATTAAACTAATTTTGTTCTAACAACTATAATTGAATATTAATTTTACTGTTTATGTGCTGATTCAAAAAAATAGTAAATTGATTCTTTTTGCTATTGGCTTGAACATTTTCTATCGCATATTGTTTTTGTTGGCTCAACCAAAAGCTTTGCAAGTTACATAGATATCTTGAGTGATGACTGCTCCTCCCGTTAACAGAATGGTTTTCTGTTAAAAAAAATATTTTCGTTCCAACTGTTGCCTTTTTGGTATTTTTCGTGCCAATCGTTACCAGTATTTTTAGTTACTAATTTATGCTAGTATTTGTGGTCATTTTTGATTTAACTCGATTTTGAATACATTAGGCAGATTAAAAAACAAGACAACTAAGCATTTATTTATTGAAACATATAGATAATATGTATATGTTAATAATGTTAAATGTAATTATTGTAATTTTTCTTTCAAATATCAGTATGTATATGTAAATAGTAAATTGTCTTAAAATAGACAACTCTAGACTAATCTAAGCCTAATTTAAATACACAAAATTATGTACTAAATAACTATATCTGCTTCAAGCCCCAACGATTCCGAGTGCTTTTTCGCTTTCATGCGTAAATCCGCTATGCTAGAATTTTTGTGCGCTGCAGCAAAGGCAGCCAAATGAAGCGGATATTGCGGCAACGGAAAAAGTCCAGCGGGTCTACTTCTATTGTTTATTGCGGCTGCATACTAAAATGGTATATAAATATATTTAACAAAATACAAGTTTAATTATAAAATGCTCAATTTACCTGATGAGCTGCAGCTGAGAGTATAGCTGGATCGAAGGCGGAAAATGCAGCCGCTGCTGCAACGCTGCCTGAAAAATGTTCGGCAGCGGCCGTTACAACGGATATCGGAGATGGAGGCCGTTTATTAATTATATTGACGGCGCTCTTTCCGCCAGTTTGTTGCGGCACACTGCAGAGTCCATTCGACGAAGGAAGCATCGTCGTATTTGTGTTTCGGATATTGGCCAGGTTGACATAAGGTGCAACACGACAAGGCTCGAGCGGCGTCGACACCGGCGGACTTCGACTGCTCAATAAAATCCCTGAAATTTGCAAACATATTTTTAATAAGAAATGCTTAAAATATAAATATATAACAATTCTATTTTTTCATTTAAATTCTTAACTATTATTTTGAAAACAAACTCTGTTATTATATTAACATATATATTCATTGTAAGCAATGAGCTTTCCGCTCCAACGAAACCGACGGCAAAAACTTTCTGCGTGGTCCAAAAACAGACAAATAAGACTACAAACATTTTCTGTAAGAGAAAACAACACGAACCCTAAACCTTGATAGTTCTATCTCTAAAACTTTGAAAGATATAATTTTCTTTCTCAGTTCATAAGATCACAACTGAATGTTATTTTCGGTTTATTTAGGGAGGAGGTAAAACGTAATCTCTTGTCTAATTTAGGGATATGGTTTATATAGGCGTAGCTATGCAACACTGAATGTCTTAATTAAATAATAACCTTATTGTAATCACAAAGGAATCGCTTTAATAATTTTAGTCATTTATGCTAAATAGAAGATTGAGGCTGGTGAAAAGAAGAGAAACTGAAACAGTTAGCTAGCTACTTATAATATTCCATATAAAATTATAAATAGCTTATTGTCTTGGACATAAATTGTTGAATGAAATGGATTTGTTGGAGGCGAAGGGACGTGGTGTCTAGAGGGCCGTGGTAGCAAAAATAAAGTAATCAAATTAAAATTCGAATAAAACACACACAAGCTTATGTTCATTCTTAATTAGCCTCAAATTCAAATATAGTTTAGATTTATTAACATAATAATAGGTTGTAGCTTTCAAGTTAAAATGAAAGACTATTGAATAAACAATGAGCAAAGTATCAAAATAAATAAAAAATAACACTTATGACTAATGTGGGAAATTATATAGACGAAAGCGAAAAAGAGGTACATTCGTAATTCGATCTAATTTTTAAAGCATTCGTTTTTATGCAATAATACTATTTTATTAAATTAGATTTATAGATGGGACATAATCCAAACCAAATGTTTTAAGGTACCATTAGTAACATATTTAAAAAATCGTTGTGCAACCTTGGATTGGAGAGTTTCTATTAACCTAAGTACTTTCACTCATTAAATGAAATAAAGTTTAGTGTTATATCGGTCAGTATATCCCATATATGTATGAAGTGAATGCATTCCCATGATGCTTAATATTCCGCACAATATGTTGATTTGCTTATTCCAACCCAGTCCTTAATTGCATTTCCTGTTTCCCTTCTCTACTTGAGCAAGTCTGATTCTATGTGTAAATAATTTACATAAGGACATACCTTAATACAAGTACATAAATACAAATGAACATCCCAATTTGGCAAATCGGTACAAAAATTCGTGACAAGTAATTGAATTCATTTTCTAATTTATTGCCATGAAAACACCCTCGGGCTGAACTGAGCTGAGTCGAGGGCTGGATTCGCCGGATTCTCTCGCACTTACTGCTGCCACAATCTGCTGCTGGGGTCGCCCCCAGCACTCGACCAAGGCCAGACGGACACATATCAAAATGACACTCCAGGGAGTACAAGGCCAAGACCAGGTTGGCCTCGTCATTTATGCAGTGTTTTGCTTTTGGGGCGATAAAAAGTCTGAGAATTGATATAAGTCCATAAAACGATTCCTTACTCTGTATGAGAAAGGTTCTGTGTGTGTTTTTTTATTCGAATTTTAATTTGATTACTTTATTTTTGCTACCACGGCCCTCTAGACACCACGTTCCTTCCCCTCCAACAAATCCATTTCATTCAACAATTTATGTCCAAGTCCATGCACTTTAGTTAAACTCGAGCAAGCTGAATCCTTGATATATTGTAGGACCTAATGCTATTTCTTAACATGCATGGAAGTTTTTCGTGTTGCTATGAAATATAGCTAAAAGAAAATCATAATAATAATAACAAGTAAGAAGGCTCCAGTCGAGACTGCTCGACTGGGAGATACCCTGAACCCTCCAAGCTGATATTCTAATCATTCTGCACTTCTTCTATGCACACATACATACACATGCACTTATAAGCACGCGCTCTGCTAACTGCGCAGTAAGCAGCGGCTGCGCTTGGGCTGCGCTGCAATGTGGGCAATATTATGAGAATTTATTAGTTGAATAATTTCTCTTGTAGTAAGAGTATCTTTATGAAACTTTCAGAATGTGTTCATATAGTTAAAATGTGTGTACATTCCAAAGCACAAGTCTCTAGTACTTGAAATGCGTTTTTTACAAATTGGGGGCAAAGGGGACGTGGTATCCAAAATTTGTAAATTACAAAATCTTTGTGTCTATTAACTCTATATACAACGCAAATTTGAAGTCTCCTGGTTAAAAAGTGTTCAAATTAAGCTGAAAAAACAATGTCGATTTTTCGATTATTCTCGATAAAAAAGTTATCGGATGAGTTATCGAAAAAATAAAGTAAACTCGTACTGCCTATGATATACACGAGTATGCATGCCAAATTTCAGCTCTCTAGCTCTTATAACTTCTGAGATCCTTTTGCTCATACGGACGGACGGACGGACAGACGGACAGGGCTATATCGACTCAGCTCGTCGTCCTGATCAAGAATATATATACTTTATGGGGTCTGCGATGATTCCTTCTGCCTGTTACATACTTTTCACAAAACCATTATACCCTGATTTCCCATTTTCAATGGGTTCAGGGTATAAAAATAATATATAAGTGGATGTTAGAATTACGTGCTACTAAGGCAAAGTAGTCCTATTCTACATATAGTCCTATATTGCATACAGATTACATTTTGTAGCTTAACAGAGCACTGTTGAGTGGCTTTAGATTTTGCAGTATTTTTTTTCGAAAGATCACTTTAAGTTTTTACAAAAAAGGAAGTTACTATTAAATGAATTTATTATTATTGATCAGCTCAAAATGAAAATATGTAAAATTACATGGACATTCTTACCAAATAGAATTATGCCAAATAGAATTATAGGTGCAAATATTACAGCAAACTAATAATAATAATAATAATAAATGTAGGATATATTGCCCTACATGGAAACAGAGACAAACTTTATCATCCTGAAATATACAAGCGTGCATATTTTGAACATCTGATTTTTATTTAATTTTAATACAATAGCCTTTAATTTAAGGCTTCAAAATAGGAAGAATTTGACAATCGCGTTTTCATTTTTAGGTGAACTTTTACAGGTATCGTTAAGACTACAAGTAAATAAAGTCTTCCTCGTACAACTTATATTAATTTGCCAGTGATAAGTACGTACTGCCACATAAGAGCACCCCCAGCTCAATAGCTTTAAAGACTTAAAACAGTGCAGCAGTATCCAATAATTGTTATGGCGCAACAAACTTTGCCTCTTGCACAGCCATAAATGAGTCTCAGAGCAGAGTCCCCGTCGTGCACTGTGAAGCCAAATTCAAAGTTATAATTAATAGATATCTTACTGCCAGACCAGCAGGATACTGCAGTGTATAGCTGAAGGCAAGAGCGAGAGAGCAATATGTAAATTTAATTTACATCAATTTAATAATTTTAAGTGTGTAGGCATTTTCTATATCAAGAAGCTGCCCGGCCTCAAGCCAAAACTTTTCCACTTTTACGTTTTCTCTTTAATTTCTATTTGCACCCTCCTTACGTTCGTTAATGCCGTGCTAAGCCACAATCCTTCCTCGTCGTTATATCGAACACGGAGTTGGTTTGAATTTATGCAAATTTAAAAGAACACGGCAATTAGTTAAGTAAATGTTGAAAGTTTACAGCTTAACTGTGTAATGCCGCAGTTGTCTTAATGTACAGGGTACCCTCTGTGAAAATATTTAACCAACTGTTTAACACAATATGTCATGGTTTCGCAGTTTATTCAAATGTATCATCATTAATATATCAAAACCTTCACCCTCTTCTTTCTCTCTCTATCTCGCTCTTTCTCTCTTTGATTGCTTCCTTCCCGTTCATTCATCAACGCCCCCTCAACCGGGCCGTAGCTCCGCTCCCCTCCGCTCAATTCACCACGGATAACATTTTTATTTTCCACTTTTACGGCCGGAATATTTAATTTGATTAAGTTGGCAATGATTTGTGTCGCTGTCACCAGGCCGTAGCTGTATATACATAGATATAGCACATATATACGAGAGGGTATATTTGGTTGCGATTTTCGAAAAATCACAGCAGATGCGAGATGCAGAGTTTCAGATTTTAAGCAATAATTTTAATTTTATGTTTGATTACATACAAATTTGCTGTTACACGATTATGAAATGAAATGGGTATATGTATTATTTTTGCAGAGTATCGTATCGTGTATTGATGTCTATCTAGAGTTTTGAAATTTAATAGTTTATTTATTTATTTATCCTTTGGCTTGGGCTTTAAAATTTAATAAACTTTTTATAATGGCTTTAAAGTGATTTTTCTTGGGATTTAATCATTCACACTTCTTAAAGATAAACTCCAAAACGTAACTGCTGACTACAATTACAGATTGATCAAGTTATATATTTGTAAATATATTTGTCTAATCGTAGAAAACTACATACTACACATCATACATTTGAACACGAACTCTACAATTTATACATAGATGGTATACCTAGCACGCATCAATTTTATTTTACTCGTCCACATATAGTAATGAATATGGAAGAAGTGGAACCATCTGACAAATTTCCATTTATTACATATATGTATATATTGAAGTATATTTCGGGCAGAGGAGGGCAAACAACACCAAGTTTAGCTACATTTACAGATTAAAAGCCAGGCTTATCAATTCAATCAATTATATGTAATGCTTGGATAAAAATCAATTTCGTAATGTGCAAGAGTGATATGCTGTCGGAAACACCCGATTTATTTCTTGTTTTTCGTTCGATTAAAATATGTCGTAAAGATGTTTTATGCGCACATTTAAAGATATAATAATAACTAGTTCGTTAGTTAGTGATAGACTCATTTAGTGCGATATCTTTAAAGAGCAAAAAACACTCGTTAAGGATAATCCTGAATGTTGCAGATACATAAATATACAAAAATACTTACCCTTATGCATTTGATTTTCATGTTTTCGACATTTCGCTCTTCTATTTTGAAACCAAACCTGCAAAAAATAGAAAATGTAATCAAATTTTTAATTCATGTTATATTACAGAGGAACTGAGTATACAGAAAGGGGATATAAATGTAGTGTTTTGCATAATTTAAAAATATATTTAAATTTAAAATAAATAATTTTAATTAACAATAATATCAAAAAAATTATTTTAATTTAAAATATAAGTATAAGAGAACTAGTACCAAAAGAACTAGCACCTTATATTATTGAACAGCTATAATCAAATAGCTGTTTATTTATATTTGAGATAAGGTATAAATATCTGGAAATCCTAATTCATAAATTTCCGTCAAATGACTTAAGAGCTTTTACCCAACTATAATATCTGAAACTAGCCAAACATATATCGAGTGTCCATTTGTGGAAGAGCTAGAAAAAATTTAACGAGCTCTAAGTGTAGGCATTGCTCATTTCCATTAGTTAGGATAAATTTATTGTAAATTGTCATGTGTAGGACGGGACTTGTAATTTATAGTGCTTGCTGGAGGAACCAGTAGCTGGTTCATATATTACCACACAGCGGTCCATTAAGAGTCGCCCTGATTGAGCATTTAACTTGTAATCGGCCCCCTGTTGTTACCACGAATCTCTTACTTCCGTATAATTGTAACGAAGGGCGGCGTAAACCACTTAACACCCCATATCGTTCTCTTCGTAACTCTGGTGGTTGCAAAGACAAATTTTGTTACACAACTAACTCTTGGTGTAGAGTAGAAAGCACCGTTATAATGAATATCAATTGTATTTCAATTTGTGCCCAGTACTTTGGCTAACTTCTGCATATTAATCATTATTCTTTATTTGGCAGTCCAAAAATTTTTGATGACAACTCTTAATACTCTCGCTGAAGGAATGAAAGGCGTTTATTGGTTTTGTAGAATGTTAATACAAGTACGTCATAAGCATTTTTTATTAGAGCTATTATCTTAAAAATGAATCGATATTAAAATAAAACGAAATAGTGCTCTCAATTGAAATTGTGAATGCTTCGCTCAGTTTTGCACAAAATTTTTTGTTCTATAAAAAGTTATTTTTAATTTTTACACCCTAAGCCGAAAATCAGAAATCAGGGAATAATAGTTTTGTAGAAAAGTGTGTAACAGTCCGAAGGGAGAAAACACTCATTTGAATTTTATTCATCCGCAGATCGAGTTTTTCTACTTCAGTTTGACTTTTTTGTTATCGATTAAACCTCTTATGGAAAATCAGTTATAAAACGAGAAAGAAAGCTCTTGTGGAGACTGCTCGACTACGAGATCCCCTGAACCCTTCGAGCAACTGATATTTCAATAATTATTCGCATATGCAGACATACACGCACACACATAAACATACGTACGCCCGCTTAAACACGCGTTGGCTGCAGTGTTGGCTTACTATGGGAACTTAATTGTTTAATAACTTTTCTTGTGGATGGACTATCTTGATGAAACTTTTATGTTATGAATATAAAATAGATATGCGTGTACTTGCCAAAGCACAGGTCTCTAGTATTTGAAATACGCCTTTTATAGATGTGATGGTGGGGTGGGGGTGGGGGGTGAATTTGAGGTGGGGGGTAAATTTTGACAAAAACCGAAATTGTATAAAATGCATATAGGTATACATATAAAATTTGGAGACTCTAGCTTTAAAGATGCAGGAGATATAAATTCATTACTGGTTTTCGATAATGTTTTCAATCGATAACAAAATAACGGGGCAAGTAATCGATATTTAAAACAAAACTCGATATGCGCTTGCTAACTAACTCTTATATCTTCTGAAATCGACGCGTTCAAGCATACGGATAGACGGACAGACAGATAGAGCTAAATCGACTCAGCTCGTCGCCCTGATCAAGAATATATATACTTTATGAGGTTTGCCATGCCTCCTTCTGCCTGTTACATACACTTAACAAAACCATTATTGCCTGATTTCCCATTGAAAATGGGTTCAGGGTATAATTATGTCTCCTACCAATTCGGAGCTAAAGTCTGCAAATATTAATATAGATTTGGGTTTATTTTGTAGAATTTTTTGTTATGTTTAATAACCCTCACTCCCAAATCTACCCATTTCTTAATGGTTTTTAATTTGAACATTCCTTCTAAGTAATTCTTGTAAGTATTTCCTCTATGTATATCCACCAAGTATTTACTCCAAGTATTTCTTCCAAGTTTTTCTTACACGTATTTTCTCCAAGTATTCCCTGCAAGTATTTTTTCCAGGTACGTCCTCTAAGGATTTCCACTAAGTATTTTTAGTAAGAATTTGTAGTATTCCAACAAATTTTTCCAGTGTATATTTCTACTAACTATTTCCTGCAAGTCTTTAATGCTTAGCTGAACGATCACACACATAACTCTGCTTTACTGGACTGCACGACTGACCTCCACCAAGCCTGGGCGACTGAAAAAATGCTACAGCTGCCCTTTATAGGGCAACTTTCACTCAAAGCCTAAGTCGCGCTCAAATGCTGAGCCCGACGCCAGGTAGGAGTCGTTGAAGTCGTGGCTTAAGTCCCCAATAGGAAAACTCGCTGCTGCTGCAAGAATTCTAGCTTCGTTTTACTGCATACATATAGATAAGTTAAATGAACTTCTATAGTTCTTCTTCATCTCTTGCGTTTCTTAGGAAGCCAGAATGAGAGATAGAGAGATAGACGGAGAGACAGACATAGAGATAGATATACAAATAAACACTCATAGTTAAATAAGATTACCTCATTACGCTGCTCAAGAAGATTTATGCTTGATAAGGCTAAATTTTGATCTGTTAAATATCTTATGTACATTAACATCTTTTGCTCCATAATTCTCTTAAGGACTACGCCTTCTGCATAGTCTGCCTCGATTTCTGGCTAATTCGAATAGGCTAGATCTAGCCTAAAATAGGCTAAGCTGGCAATGTACGCGTGTGTATGTGCATGTGCTGTTTGTCGTGTAAGCAGAAAAGACGTGAGGAATCATTGGAATACCAGTTCTTGGAAGGATTAAGGAAAAACTAAAATTTATCTCTCACAATTTTACAGAACGTTGGATTCACAAAGACTTGATATAGCCTATGTTTTGTTGATCATCAAATGCCATTGATTTCTTGTATAAGTCCACCAGTAGACAGTCGGTTACAACTGACTTCCACATCGTTACTTGCTGCTTCTTACCTGCACTCGTGCTTCGCTCAGTCCCAAGCGCTGACTCAGCTCCTCCCGCATAAAGGCATCTGGGTAATGGGTCTCTTCGAACAGTCGCTCCAGTTCGTTGAGCTGCTCAAGCGTAAAATTTGTGCGCGATCTTCGCTGCTTGCTGCTAAGTCCAGAGTGTTCCATGCGGGCGATATTTGTGTCTCCTATGTTTGACTGCGGCTCCGGCGATATTGATATAGACTTCTCCGAGCTGACCACCTTATGCAACGATAGCTCCGGGGAATTGCTATCATTGGAGCATTCATTGTTATTAATATTGATTGTTGCAGATGTTTTCATTTCTGTTGCTTTTGCAAGTAAAGTGAATGAAATGACAAATTTATGGTGTTAGTTACTTATTTGTTAGTAAAAAAGTTTAAAGAAATATATATATATATATATATATATATATGCCAAGTCGAAATAAACACAAATAGTACACATACATTCATATGTGTGCGATAAGATGTGTATATTCCAATTGCAAATTGTCTTCTCTTGTATAACACTTATCCTCTTCAGCTTTTATAATGTGTTGCACTTTTATTTTATCACATACAATCCACATACTATTTATTTCGCATCTAATACACAAATCACCTTTGTATAATCCATTTCCTATATAATAAGATGAAGTTATATATAGTACATTATATAGTATGTAATAGTTATACTATACAGTTGTACATGAATATAAGAAAATGTGTTATACAATGATATCACGTATTCATGATATTTTTTAAACCCCTATGTATACCAAACTTCAATTTCAAACGTTTCATGTATAACAATACTAAACACAATATCTTTGTTTCATTCCCTGATTTGTATGTATAATACTTTTTGAATCTCTAAAGTGTTTTTAAGCATAGGCATTCCTAGATTAACTCAAAACAAATTCATCTAACACTTCTGTTTACTACTCTCTAATAATATTAATGCCATTTTTGTATACCGTTTGAGTATTTCTGTTAACTCATATATTATAAATTTCGTATATATACAAATTTAATATAGCCTGGTGTATATCACGAACATTTCCAATTTTTTATACACTTGATCGGTATGAACCTCTTTATCTCCTCTCAATTGTTTTGTACCACTAATAATTATAAATTATATATTTCAAGTCTCTTTATATCGAAAAAATAGAAGAGGAGGTGAAAGTCTAGATATTTTCCAAAGGGGTAATTCGATTTACCATATTTGCTTTTTATACTCATTCACTAAAGTGAATCAGTATATTGTTTTTTTGTAATGTCCGTCCGTTTGTCAGGCTGTCCGTCTGTCTTGGAAGAAATCTCGTGTATATCTCCGATTTATAAAGTATTAAAATTTTCCCGATCTGCTCACTGGGGCTTGGCAAATCGGAAAATGCATTTTCCGATATACCAGAAATCATATTAGTCGAAGAGCCAGAAAGCTGAAATTCGGAATGAAGATCCGCATCGACCACCCAAGATTACGAGCTATGACGGATATATCTATGCCCATTGGGGGCATGGCAAATCGGATAAAACTGTATCTCTTAGAGCTTTAAAGCTAGAGCGCTGAATGCTATGATTCTTTAAAGATTAATGAATGGAAATTAGGGGCGTGGCAAATCGGACCTGAAAATATAGTGATTTTTTAAATTCTGCTTTATTTTGAACACTATTAAAGCTAGAGACCTCAAATTTGGTATATTTACTCGGGCTGACCATCCAAGACCAAAAAGCTTTGACGTGTATATGTCCGCCCACAAGGGGCGTGGCAAACCGCAATAGTTGATATCTCCTAAAGTATAATAGCTAGAAGCTTCAAATCGAAAAACACCCTGTAAATTTAACAATTTTGCTGCTAATTTCTGATGGGATGCGAATGAGTATTCCGTAGTCGGTAACGCCCGACTGCAACGTTCTTACTTGTTATTATGTGTATTTCGTTTCATTTACAGCTAGAGCGATGCAATTTGAAGCTGCAATATATTCTGATTTATATGCAGACTTCGAATTCGGAATACAGACCCAGATGAAAAAAGTTTATATGACTACGCTCATGTCGCAGAATTGAAATGTACTGCAAGTAGGTTACTGTAGAATGTTTTTCTACACAGTTTTTAGTAAGTATTTGGACCAGATTCCTCAACATTTAACAATCAGTCATCTGCTTTAAAAAGGGAATCCTTATATTATTTATTGTGGCCATTGAAAAAATCAATTCCATTATCTTTTTTGTTGTTCAATCAATAGCAAAGAATCCTCTTTTACCATTTATTGTACTATGTTCTATTTACGAATTTTATACTTATTTATATTTACTTGATGAGCTCTCGATGTCAGGATCTGCCATATTATTCATGCACTTGCTGCTGGTTTTACTATCCGAGTCTTGAAATTTTACGATCAGGTCACCATTCAGTTTCGAGTTATTCGCCGTGCTAGAAATACATGCAGTTGAATCATCGAAACGGGAAGATCTCTTTTCACACTTTTCATCTGAAATTATAGGAAATCGGAATTAAAGACAACTAAACACGATAATCTTGAGAATCAACCGCATCCTAGACAGGTAATAGGTAAGATACATATTTATATCAACTTCTTTTCGGTAATACATTTATATGTTACTTAAGTTTGACGAAAATAAATAAGTTCTACAATATATATTTAAAAAAGTTCCAGTTTTTTCATTCTAAAACGAAGTTATCTTATCACAATAATCATAATTAAGGTATTTATGTAATTAGGCAAATAGACTTACCTTCTGATTGTGTATCCGATACCAATAGATCGGAAATCAACCAGTTCTTAGGCTTTGGGGCAGGATCAGTCTTACGGAGCTCTTCACTATCCGAAATAGTTGCAATCGATTGCTGTTGAAGCGAACGGATTTTGACTAGAGAGAGGGGCTTGGGCAGACTCGTATCATCCTCCGCGCTGTTCTCTTCGGCTACCGAAATATCGGTGATATCAATGTCCATGGACTCTTCACCGTTAGCACAGTTATCAACAGATACACGGCCCAATCCGCTCGGGCTCACTAATATGGACTTTGTTGCCGTTGTTGTGGCGTCGGCCAGTTTATGGATGCGCGCACTTGTCATCGAGTTGAACAAATGGTTGACTCGATTATTTGTTAAATTGAACTCAAATGATTTATTTACAAACTGTGCTAATTGCTCCATACTGGCTCACTATAATTACAAATTATGTTTTTTTATCCAATATCGAAATCTTCTTCACAGCACTTTCACTCCGATGCATCATAGTTGCTCTTACAAAATAAAACGCTCGACTACTTCGCAGGAAACGCCAATGGCATTACAGGTCCCCATACAGTTTCATTCCAATTCAAATAAAAAAACTTATATCGAGCTAAAATCTCTCTCTCTAAGTTGATTTTTTTCGCTTTTACTCTTAACGGCTGCGCATGCCATTCTGCTTCTGCTTCTTCCACCTTTCGCCCCCACTGGGAGAGAGCAAAGCACGCACACAAACACAGAAACACACACACTCACACATGCATAGAGATACCTTAGATCAACAAGCATTTGAGATTTGGCACATATTTAAATATTTAGTTAATTGTAGTTTAATTAACATATTTGAATTATTTTATGCTAATTATGCCGAAAATGAATACAAATATTAACAAATATATTTATTAAATTAATATTTAGTATTTATTGTAGTTAGACAGTACAAAATGAATTAAATAACTATAAAGTTTATTATTTTTATTTATTCTCTAATTATTTAAATTAAATAAATACAATTTCATATGTATAAATATTTTTATTTCTTAGTTAAGGGACGATACTTCTCCCCTCAACGCTCATTGAGTAAATCTGCTCGCTCCCTTTTGGCCTCGCTCTTTATCGAGCGTTCGGAACAACCCCTAAAGAGCCGTAGAGTCGTAGAGTGGAAGGTGTTGCTCCCTGTCCGACACGTATATGTATATTCAATTTATTCTCATTGGTCTTTACGTGTTGGCTGTTGTTGTTGTTGCAAAGTGGTTGTAGGCTGCTTGGCTCAACCCAACTTTACTGTTATTGGTTATAGCCGCTTTATCCTGTATACACATTAACTGTGTATAAAACACCTAATAATTTTCTTTGCAATCGCCTATGTGGGTGGAGTTTCACGTTGTTCTCACTTTATCCCTGGATTAAATTGATGAAAATATCTCGCAGGCATTCGCCCAAATATGTAGCACTTAGGTTGGTAATTGAATTTTAACTAAAAGTATATAATTGCTTGACTTTCATATATAATGTGCGGATTATAAGTGCTTAAAGATTCGTATTTTAACTTTGGCATGTGGAAACTTCACGTCCAGACCACCGCCGACTTTACTGGTTCGAAGTATTTTAAAGACTCATTAAAGTAATTAATAGTTAAAGAAATAGTTTTGTTTTATATTTTTTATGAAGTATCATATTCTAGTCAGTGGAATCTATTTGAAATTCGAATTAATAAAAGGAAATTAATATTTTCGTGTTTGCTATAAAGTTATTAGTCTTTAAAGTTTTGATATACGATATAATATGGATAATAAATCTTTATTAGTTAAAATTTACTTATTGGCTGTGGGAGGCCAGGCATCTAGCTCATTCTCGTTGAGACAGAGGGCAAACTCCTCGTCGACTGATTCAACAGCTCTGAGTGATAGGAATGCCTTTGGACAGATGCGGATGCTCAAAGAGTCAATGGCGTTATCTTACTCTCACAAATTTGACGACACTTAGACCTCTCATAATAAAAGCTGTTAAGCGAATGATAATACAGCTAGAAGTACTTATTGGATTTGTTCATTTAAAATGCATTTCGATTTATTTACTAAGTTTAGTATATACATTTTGAGTTTTGTAATATATTTTTGCATATGTCATTTGAAATCTGCATTTTAATGTAGATATAGGTTTTGCAGCTGCAAATCCAAGCATCCCACATTGCATCAACTTTAGTTTCCAATTAAATTAAACAAAATTTGTTTCTGTTTTAGATCAATTTACTTCAAATATGAAGTTGTTTGGCAACACACTTTCTGGATCTATTTTATTGTATACTTTTTGACATAACAGACTTATAGCTAATACACAATCATATACATATATATGTATATCAACTAAATTTAAAAGCAACATAAAATTATGACTTGAGATTAATGGTTCTATATATAGATATATATAATAGTTAGCTTTATGCCTGCGCAACTATTGATCTTTATCTTTACAGATTCTGGATGTCATTTCCTGCAGTGGCTCTAATTCCTTCGCGGATATCAGTTCAAATTCCTGGACAAAGTAATAAAAATGCTTATAGCAAGCATTCACGTGTGCTTCCTGCAGTTGAAAATATGTAATTACTTAGAGTATATTTAATTATCATTATTGTTTACTTACCGCACCGATGGTCACAATTCTATCAAAATGATGGATGTAAACATGTACGAAGACCCGAAATAATCGTGTTAATATTTTTCGACTTAGTGAGCTAAATGATTTAGGAAAAGGAACATCTAAAATCGAACAAAAAACATTAACTATATATTTATAAATCTATAATCATGACTAGACATACCTGTAGAGACGGGAAATATTGCTTCATTGTTAATTTGAGTCTCTATCCAATCCATTAGCAACTCAATATATTTTTGTGCAGGCAGAGCAGTGGGTTTTTTGTATCTACAATTTAATATTGCAAATGTGATAAATTATATTACAGGAATATTGGTTTTTCACTTACACATCTCCGTCCACCCACAAGTATTCATATTTCGAGCCACCAGACATTGTCGGACAGGTGGTTTCATTGCAAAATTCAGACACAGTGCCATAAATGAGATTGATGCGATTGAAGAAGTCAACAACTGTATAAAAAGAATTATACAAAATTTATACCATATATAGACGGAACATTTGCAATGAATTCAACTGCGCACAGGCATAGAATACAGTTATAGTGGAGTGTAAATGTATGCGCATCTCGATAGTTTCTTTTATATGTTATAATAAAATAAATAAATAATACGAGCGTGACAAACGGAAGCATCGGAGCTCTTAGTCAGCACAATGTCAGCCAGGTACCCATAATTGACAACTCAAGGGCGTAAAGCACACGAGTTATACTATATTGGGCGGAAGGTGCCCCTGTGTAGTTCTGGAACTCTCATCAGCATATGAATATACTGTACTGTAAATAGTCGAATTTACGCACCGTGCACTGCTAACCAGTCGTTCATATTCTCGCCTTCTGGTAATCGTACCACTTGACGTAAATTGATTCCAGAGTTCAAACTAGCCTGGGCCTGTTTATGAAGTGAATAGCGGATGGTACCGGCCGTAAATCTTTTATTTGGCCTAAAAGTCTGCAAGCCGAAAAAACATTTCCATATTAATCATAGAAACATTTCTCTAAATATAGTTATCTTGTAAAGATTATAGCAATAACATACCTTTCCCTTTTGGAAAAAGTCTAAGAACCCGTTAAGGGCCATTTTACGATAGTCTTTTATTTATTTTTGTATATTTATATTATATTAAGAACACTTTAGCACAAGAAAACATCTGTTTAAACAATGTGACCAGTCAGACCAAAGTAAAATACCAAAAGAACTTTCTCGTCTGTTAATTAACAGTAAGCACTGACTAAGTGCAGTAAGTTTAAATATTTACTAAAAGTTAAAAATTTTATTTTAGCATTTGGGAAGCAATTTGCATTAATTAAAATAAATACTCATTAAAGAAAAATTAATCTCAACCTAAATTATAGTATCGATAATCGGCTAACAGAACATTAATGTTTACAGTAGCCAGCATATTCATTGGTATTTAGGTATTTCATGATTCATGTGCTTATTAATTATTTTACTTATTTTTTGATCCAAAAACGTTAAAATAAAAAATATTTATAATAAAAAAATATTTATTCATAGAAAATGCACTCAATTATATCGGTACATTTTTAATTAAATACAACTATCGATATATGCTATCGAAAATATCGAAATATACCAGCATTTAGGTCGCCATGTTGTTTAGTAATTTGTGCGTCTCTGTTTTGTTTGTGTATTAAAACGATTGAAAGATTAAAACAAAAATAAAAAATGTTCTACGAACACATAATATTGGCCAAAAAAGGCCCGCTAGCCAGAATCTGGCTAGCAGCCCATTGGGATAAGAAAATAACTAAAGCGCACGTCTTCGAAACAAATATAGAGAAATCAGTGGAGGGTATTTTACAGCCAAAAGTAAAATTGGCGCTACGTACGTCAGGCCACTTACTGCTTGGCGTTGTGCGAATCTACTCAAGGAAGGCAAAGTATCTATTGGCGGATTGCAATGAGGCGTTTGTTAAAATCAAAATGGCATTCAGGCCAGGAATGGTGGACTTACCTGAGGGCCATAGAGAAGCAAATGTTAATGCAATTACGCTGCCCGAAGTTTTCCACGATTTTGACACAGCCCTGCCCGAACTCAATGATATTGATATTGAGGCTCAGTTCTCTGTCAACCAGTCCCGAGCAGATGAGATAACAATGCGAGAGGATTATGGTAGCCTGTCGCTTTCCCTCCAGGACGACGGCTTTGGAGACATTGGATTTGAGGCGGACACGCCCGAGATGATGCGTGGCCCCTTGTCCGGGAACATAAATGATCAGCTCTTTGATGATGATGTACTCACAAATGTCGTTGAGCCAAACGATCCCAACATCACGTTAACACAGTCCGAAATGCCGAATGATCGACTGGACGGTGATGGCTTTGGTGATTCCTTTGGACAGCCAGCATTATTCGAGGACGATCTATTTGGGGAGCCCCCGCAAACAGTTGGCATAAATACGGCAATTAATGAGCCCAACAATCCGCCAGATTATTCAGATGATGATGGCATCGACAACTTCAACAACCCTCCGTCTCCGGCGTCGTCCTGTGCCGATTCGGTGCACGATGACAAGGAGGACAACTTTCAGGCAAAGGATAACAGTTTTAATGAGGACGTCAATGCAGCTGGCGGGGATGCGGCTTTAAATGATCTGACCCTGGTACAAAATGACGACGAGGGATTCGCTCTGGCGCCCATTGATGCAACCACTTACAAGGGCGCCACGAAAGCCAAGCGCAAGCGAAAGCTTATCATTGACGAAATCAAAAATATATCGGGAGAGGAAATGAAGGCCCAACTGGCGGACACCTCCGATATACTGACGACTCTCGATCTGGCCCCGCCCACAAAGAGATTGATGTATTGGAAGGAAACGGGTGGAGTGGAGAAGC